GGCTCTGTTTTCCAGCTCGTGGTCCAACTTTCCAGCGTTAAGTAACATGTGCCTGTGTGTATACATGCGCATGCACACGCTCTGGCCTCGTCAGCCAGCAGGATTTTTAATTCCTGGGAGGGATCACCATATGGAAGCGGACGGACAGTAAGCTGTTCCTGCGCAGGGGAAGGAGGAATGATTCAGGGCAGTCTGATGGATGGTTTTCAAAATGCTTTGGCAGTTTGACTCATCCATATACAGAGGCTGGGGGAAAAAAAAATCACAAAGAATGTCACTCTGCTGGAGGCGAGGATTTCAAGTTGTGCCAACACATCCATGAACTGAAGCAGGATGAAGTTGCAGCTCTTTTCTGTTTGCTTCCTTGTTAGAAACAAACAATTCATTTATGCATCGAGGTATGGAAGAACTTAAGTGCAACAACACATTATAGTCACCGTAACTTAAATGCGTTTTCTAACCTCTCTAGGGAGTGGCTTTAACCTATCCAGCTTTGAAGCCCTCCTGCAACACACATGCCAAACAATCTGGACAGCTTTGAGCAGGCTTTCTATTCCTATTGAGCATACGTTAATCCTTCTGCTTGATGGGGGATACTTGCCTTCAGAAGAAGACATCTGACTTTACTAATAACAATAGTGATGCATTTCATCTCTCACAACAACCCTGAGATAGTTACTTTGGTGTGTTTGGGTGTGCTGTGTAATGGAAGAGATTTCTTATGTTCACAGCTGCTGTTGATTTCCCCCACCCATACAAGAAAAAATACACTATGAGTTAAGAAATTTCCTAATCCTTAGCATGGTGTTCTTTCTTCTCCTGTTGTGTGGATGCAGTTTGTAGGGTTGTTTTCAGCTTCTCCCTGAGAAAAGTCACAGTTTATATTTCATACTGTTAACTGCATCCTCCCTATCTCACATTCTCCATACCTGTATAACTTGAGAACTTAGATAGCTAAGCACAGAAGAGCAGTGCTCTTTTCTATTATTACCTGGTTGTCTGAAAGTCTTAAGTATGCAGAAGCTTCTATTGTTTGTTGCCCAAAAAACTGAGTCTTAGGAGTAGAAGCCTGTGATACAGCTTGATACCTCAAAACTTTAACACTCTTTACCCCTTCAGTAGCTACAGTATTCCTTTTTTTTTTTTGGCCTTAATTATCAGTGTGCCTAATACACAAAAGCCAGCAACTACAACAGCATATAAAAACAAACTTGTAAATAAAACCAGCCACAAACCTCCTGGTTGCAACACTTGCAACCCAAATACTCTCTCCCTAACCCTTTTTATATACAGCTGAGCTAGAGCTGCTTAAGTTCACCTGGGACCCTACTTAGGGTTTCAGCTGAGTAACCTTGTGATGCCAGGATGGACTTGGAACCAAAGAGTTGGTGCATAAGCATGACATTGTCAGGAGCCCCCAGATCTCCAAGTTTGTGCAGAACTTTTTCTTCTTACTAAAGCACTGATGTTCTCATATTCATTCATTTTCTTTAATTTCCACAATAGCAGGGTCATACTATTTAAGTTTACATGGTTATATCTGTAGTGGAGAGCAAGTTTTGGCAGAGGTTAACTGATCTAGAGAACTCGGTGTAGGTCCCTGAAGACCGAGCAAAAATAGGTTGGGATTTTTGGATTTAGTTCCAGGACAAGCAGAGGGAGAGATGGGAATGATAGGAGTTGGGAACCCTGGCAGAATTCATTTTTGCTTCCAAAAAAAAAAAATACATGTGGTATCTTTCAAGTCTTGCTCAATGTTGCTGCTATGCAGTTGAAAAAAAAAAAGTATATTTGATTTAGGTTTGTTTTCCCTTTTCTGTAACTGTGGAAATGGCACTGATGCTCGTTTGAGTCAATACTCTTTCAAAATAATATTAAAGTGACTAATACCTGAAAAATCTGCATGTTGTTTGACTCGCAGTTCAGGACTTGTTTCATTGGAAGGCCTCTGACTGCCACAAATTGCTTTAAATTGGCAGAGCACTTCTCATAACAAGCAATATTTCATCATAATTCAATTGGGTTCCCTGCCAAGGAGGAAATTGTAGTCCCAGAGCTTTTTGATGGTGTCACCTGGTCGGTGGTCATCTCTTGGCCTGTGGGCAGGTATGGTTGAGTGTGGGGTGACTCAGATGGTCCAACCACCACAGTTTTTTTAAGGCTTCCTCACCAGGCCCTGGGATGTCTGTCCAACTTCTGCCCCAGTGCGAGGAGTGAAGATCTGGCAATGGGAATGCCAAGCCATGCTCTGGTTTCCAGCAGGGCTGCTCAGCAGCTGGAGGAGACTGCGGCTGCTTCAAGGTTTTGAATTGATGTGTGTGTGTGACAGCAAGGACCCCTGGCTGGACTGAACCTTCCTGAGCTGTTAGTCATCTGAGCTTGGCTTGCGATGAAGCGGCGAGCAGAAGCAGTGACCATCTCCCGCTTGCTTTTGAGCTGGAAATGCACCTCGAGAAGCCCATAGGAAGCAACCACAGCCAAAGCTTTTGTCAGCAGTATGTGGGGCAAGGAGGAGCTTCAGTATGCAGAAACTGAAATGTAAAGCTCCCTGGGTCTGATATTAACATAACATCATGCTGTGGAAAACAAGAATGCAAAAGACTTGGTAGGCACAGCATGTTTCTCAAAGCGCTCACCCAAATGCTGCTGCTGGGTATTGGATAGTGAAGTTTGCGATGTCCTAGGTCCAGGTGTGGTAAGTACGGATTGTTTTAAGATGTGACAGATCAAAAAGCAAAGTGAAGACCCATCCTGTGTCAGTTCAAAGTCTTAAAGATCAAAAAAACTCCCTTCTGCCATAAACCTTTAATCTTTTGTTGGTATTCTGCTCGATTTTCACCACTGAGCTTTTAGGTTTCCCCTTCTAATCTGCAGTATGCCTTAAAGAGGAAATAAATATTGCCATATAACAAAAATCTCATTTTCTGTCGAAGGATCATTGCAGGTAGCTCTGTGATGGTGATGTGGCAGCATGTATATCACATAAGATTTGTATCAAGTAGTATGATAGATAAGACACTTGGTGCTACTAGAGGCAATTAGGCTTTTCTACAAAGCGTGGTAGTGTTGCAGGTGTTGGGACCAGGACCATGCTCTCTGTAGTGATTCATGGCTCTGCTGGATGGCTGTGGTCGGTTCCAGCGGTCAGGCAAAATCCAGGAAGGGCTATGTCAAGACATGGTGGAATGTGAATTAGTTTCATATGTGTCTAAGGGCAAGAATGCCCAGGAGAAAAGGTGAAATAGGGCTCTGGTGGCTCTTGGCAGAGGGCATATGAGTTCATGGGGCCAGGGCTGCTCCTGCTTCTGCACATATTTAACCGTGAAGATAAATCCAGCAAAACCCAAGCACTGGAGATTAATGTTTCCAAAGCATGTAACTCTGTGTTGGGAAGTACTACTGGTTTTGGGGTTCTGAAACACGGATCGGAGGATCTCAGGTATAATCCTGTATCATTAAGTGATCTTAAGTTTCATTCATCACCCTGAACTGAATTGCTGCAGCCGAGCAGCTTGAGGGCAGAATACTCTTACCCTGTGGCTTCCCTCGCCGTATGACTTCACCTGTAAATAGAAGTTGTCTATAATTAGATGTGGGACTTGCATCTGCCCTGTGCTTGCAACAGGGAACCTTAATTCAGTGTGAATGGAATTTCCTTGGGCATTTGTCAGGGAGGGAAACAATAGATCTGTAACTGGGACCCATCTCAGGGGACAGCCCTGACAGCTCCTGCTCCTCTGCAATGCCTGAACAGTGTTTTGGTGAGCTGTATCAGTTGGAAAAAACTCAGTACTTTAATCTCATAAAGGAGATGTGTGAGCTTTGTTCAACTGGACAAGCTGAACACCCCGCCCCCCGAACCAGCTTCCTCAAATTCTTCATAGTTTTGTCAGTTCAGCAAACCAAATGAGTTATAGTCATTATTCACAGCTATTGCAACCAGTTGTAGTAGACACATGTGTATGAGGGGAAAAAACACGTCCTGTAGACCAGCTGCTTTGGATTTTTATCAAATTGAGGTTTGGGTATTTCATGTGCCTGGGGAGGGAAAAACCTGTGAACAGCAAGTTCAGCTAACCTTATGTTTTTAAACCAAACAGTCCCTCTCCTTCAGTCTTTCTCTGGGGGAGGTATGGAAGGAGACTTCTCCCCATGCCATCTGGAAAGTGTATGTTTTTTGAATGGGACATTGGAGCTCTCTTCTGACAAGAATCCATGCACCTGATATTAAAATATATCCGTGCATCTCATAGTAAAGTTTGGGTCTGGGCTGAAGCCCTGTATGTACAGGAACAGCTAATGAGAATTTTACCTGAGGTCCTTTTAGGTATCCTAGGCTATTAGGAGTAAAAAGGTCTTGACTGATACTGAGCATGAAAAAGCAAAAAGCAGAGAAGATAGAGAGTTAACGGGAAAATTGAGGTAATTCCCCTCCAGACTGCAATTTCAAGTCTTGTGTAAATGGGACTTTGTATGTTGAAAATAATTACTGTAAAAGCTAAGGGAAGAGCCTTCCCTTCAATTGCTGTTTCCCTGTGAAAACTCCAGGAGGGAGCAACCCGTGTGCTTTTGCCGTGAGCAGTGAAATGCTGTCATCTTGTCTACAGGTTCTGCACACAGCAAATTACTCAGCAATGATGTTGGTTATGCTTCAGTCTGGGGGAGAAACTGGGAAATCCAGAAAGTCTGCACTGGGGCAGGACAAGATAACACTGTGGATGACTGCAGAAACCCAAACTTTGTAGGAAGAAATGCCTTTTTCCATTATGAGCCCGTATTCTGCAAAGGTCTGAGCACCTGCCTAACTCCATGAGCTAGGACCAGTTGGGCTGCTGTCAGCGAAATATTTATTGTACAGAAACTCCAGGGCATGTCCAGGGACAATTTCCAGGACATTCTCCAATTACTGGGGAAGGTAACCTCCTGGAGGGGCTAGGAATGAAGGAACGTTGTGGAGTGGCAGATGGTAATGGTTGTGATGGTCTTTCAGACTAACAGGGATGCCAAAGGAAAAATATGATCCTCCAGATCCTCGCAGAATTTACACCATCATGTCAGCAGAAGAGGTAGCCAACGGGAAGAAGTCACACTGGGCTGAATTGGAGATCTCGGGTGAGTTGAGCTGGTTTTGAATTTTGGTTCAGTGAGGTTGTTGGTGCCCCAGAATCGTACCAGGCACTTTCAGACAGGGGATCCTATTGCAGAAAGAGTTTCACTGAGCTGGGTGAGGAGGAGTAACTCACTTAACAGTTGCCTTTGAGCTTGGCTGGCTTATATTCAGCCCAGTTCATTTAAAACACCAGCTGAGGTTGGACATGTGTTTTTGGGTAGCACATCTGCTTCTTTAGAACTGTACCTCTGTCTCTATCCTAGAGGGTTAGATAATTATTTAAAGCCTGCTCGTAGAGAAGATACGCAAAGGTATCACTCTGCATGCCGGCAAAGTGGTAGCATTTCCACTCTGGAAATCCCATATTCTGACATCCCCCATAGTTTGTATCTGATGGTTTAAGAGCACAAACCTGACTGAAGAGGTGATTGTTTACTTTTCTTTTTTAGGTAGAGTGCGGAGTTTAAGTACATCACTTTGGTCGCTGACACACTTGACTGCTCTGCACCTCAATGACAATAATCTTACTCGCATTCCACCTGATATTGCCAAGCTTCATAATCTGGTTTACCTGAATCTGTCATCCAACAAACTCAGAAGTTTACCAGCAGAACTAGGAAACATGGTATCTCTCAGGTGAGAGAGATTACTCTGGTTAACTTTTCAAAAATCTATTTGGGATTGGGATTGGGACTAGGAATTTTATCTTGCTTTCCATTCTTGTATTTAAAATAATTCAGGATTGGTGCAGAGCTTCAGTTCTAATAATTACTGTAGGGTTCATTACCCTTCTTTCCTGCTCTCTACAGGTACATGTCTGTAAGCTATGTCGTTTCTGCTCTGAAACATTGAGACTTGGTATTTGCTTGCTGTTTAAATTCTCCCTGATTTAATTTTGGGGTTTTTGTGGCTTTTGTGGTGTTTTGGTTTTTTTTTGTCATGCTTTGAAATGGGAAGATTGGCATGTTTTCCCATAACACAAAAAAAATTCAGGGTGCAGAGTGTCATCTTTGAAGATGCACTTCTGAAGTGATACTCATCAAAAGTGTTTTCTGCATTTGCTGCAGGGAATTGTTTTTAAATAACAATCTGTTACGGGTTTTGCCTTATGAACTTGGACGGCTCTTCCAGCTACAAACCCTAGGCTTGAAAGGTGAGTGAGTTCTTTGCAATTAAATATTCCTAGGAGTACTCTTGAATTACTGAGGGGGATGGGCTCAAAATCTTGGTGTATTACCTCAGCGTTTTCTTAGAGTTTATTTGAGATACTAAGCTTGTAGCAAAAGCCAGTTTGGAAAACAATGCTTTGTTAAAGCTATCAAACTTCCTTATGAGCCTATTTTATGTAGATAGGTATATAAACCCTTTAACCTACTGTATTATTAAGTGAGTCAAAAGAAGAAAATCTGTGTGTGCCAGATATTTCTGTAGCATCTGTTACTGTGGTACTCTACAGTTACAAGTTGAGCAACCTGAATATCTTCTGAGTCAATTTTTCTGTTCTCATTATGGGAGACCTTCTTTGGTTGGAAAGCCTTGAGAAAGTCAGGCAGCTAATCACCCAGTTGTTGTTTTAACCCAGTTGTTGTTTTATGCTGTTGGCAGGCAATCCTTTATCACAAGATATTCTCAGCCTCTACCAGGACCCAGACGGAACTCGAAAGCTACTGAACTACATGCTTGACAATCTAGCAGGTGACAGCCCTACAGCTCTGATTGGCAGAAGCAGTTTATGAGCATGCATTTCTGACAGCATTTCCTGGTAAAACAAGAATCTGAACCACTGAAGGCGGAGTATTTTCTAACTGCTGTTGCATTTGTCAGGTGGTTCCAGTTGTACACACAAACACACACTGTGGAAGAGGTTGACATACATTGTCCAAGCTTTTCCCATGTTACCATATTACAGCCAGTTGTTCCCACTGTTCTGTTTGAACCCTTTCAGTTACCAACAGAACTGCAAGGTCTTCCTTGCTGAAGCCATTTTGATACTTTCCACTAGAAATTATAATCCAAATGCAGGCAGAATGTGAAATTAAGATCTCAAAATACCAAAGTGATAAAGAATATCCAGTACCTGACTTGAATCCTGTGTTGTGGTTCTGTAACTGAGTTTTCTGTATTGCCCCTTGATGTGTAATAGGTTGAAACACTGAAGGAATGATGGATATAGGGTGAGGTTCTTGGAGAAGGGGAGTACAGGTTGTCTGAACCACTACAGGATTTACCCTTCCTTTTTCAGCAGTATATTCAAGATGCAGGAGTACATTGGTGGTGGTTCTAAATTGGAAAGCAAGTGACAAAAGCAGTCATGACAACTGACACATTTGCCTTTACTATAGCTAGCCATTTGCCATTTAAATTGTTTTTGCCTCCCCTGGGAGTGTAAAAAGACTCGGGGAGTTGGGTTTGCAAAGCACAATATGGAACATTATTGTTTACTTGTCATTTTGACTTAGAAATTGTAACTTACAAATATAAACCCTGAATTAATCACTGGTTTCTTTTTTTTTTTTTTTTTTAGTTCATCCAGAGCAGCTGCCTCCAAGGCCATGGATTACTTTAAAAGAAAGAGACCAAATTCTGCCCTCAGGTAAATCTGTGGTTCTTTTCCCTGTGTTCACAAAGTGATGCGCTGCAAAACTTTTGTTTGGATTTTATTTTCAGAGCAGTCGTCTGCCTTACATGGAGCAGATTGAAAATAGCAATTTGTGTTGATTTCTACTAAGATGATTAACATATGGCTGTGCTGTACATACCAGTTTTGTAATTTTAATGGGATGCGGATCATTTCTTCTCCATTTTAGGCTTTTTCACACCCTCTCCAGCCACTGATGCCCAAGCAAAAGAGCTTTTTTTAAAAGAAATTAATTTCTCAGAAGTGATAACTGTGTAATAACTGTGTACAAATGCCGTGTCCACGCTCAGGCTGACCCAAGTGAGACTTTGGGAAGTGCTTATCTGCAAGTAGACACGCCGAGTGGTCGGGACTGAAGTTAGTTTAGTGCCCTCTATTGTTGCTTTTGGTAAAGTGCAAGAGGCAGCATTTCTTCAGGCTGTCCTAATCCAGCGGCCTTTTCCTCCCCTGCACATCTTGAATATAACCAACTAGAAAAAAAATAGGAAGAAATGGAAAATAACAGCCACCACCACATTAAGTTCTGCATTTCTGTTCAGATTCCCCCTAAGTCAATATCTCAGACGAGTTTTACACACTTTCTTTTTATTTTTATAATCAAACTTCCTGAGCACAAATAGAATTCAGAGGTCATTAGGAAACATAGCATTAGGCAACTGAGCTGTGGAATATGTCATGGTAAAAACTGTAACAATCACGTTGCTTGTTGTTATAAAATTAAACCAAACAGCCGAAATCTTCTGTGATAAAAAAGTACTGCTGTGGGGTAGCCTTGTAGTAAAACCTCACTTCTTTCCCTGCAGATTTGAACAATATTTTCCAGTGGCATGGTGCTAGGATGTTGCATTTACTCATCTTTTTTGTTCTTGGTATAAAACCTAAAGGAGTTCAGAAGTTTGTGTGTGAAAGAAGTGTGTCTGAAGCTGAATGATCTGATAAGCTGTGTGCTGACTACTATCTTTTCTCTTTTTAAATGTGACCAAATGATCTATTGGGTGCTTGCTAATCAATTAATTCATTTTTTCTCTTCCCTGCCTTCACCCAGACATTTGTCTCCCTCTTAGATTTGATAGACACAATTTAGAAATATTTTACAGGAATGTAGTACAAATGTTTTGAAATCAGACTGCCTAAAACTGAAGCATTCTAAAGCAGCATTTCTGTCTGATTTCTTACCAAAGCGAGTGGCTGTTCCTAATTGTTGCCTGTATCTAGATCTCCCCCATCCCCAAAGGTAACCAAGAATCCATAGGAAAATGGGATTGCATTACTTTGTTATGCACCTCTCCTTTTGGTAGTAATGCTGATTTTTTTTTCAGGGAGAGTTTAGCCTTGTTTGGTAACTGCTGGCTCATAAAATGCTCAGTAGAATAAGCCCACTGACTTGTGTTCAGAAGGCGCTCCAGAATAGACCATGTAAGATCCAGTATTTTGGCTTGAATAAGTTCAGCGTTTGTAATCTTCAGAGGTTGATGTCCTTTCCCTTTCTTTCTTTCCTTCCAGCTTCATTCACAGTTATGTGTTACAATGTGTTGTGTGATAAATATGCCACCCGGCAGCTCTATGGCTACTGCCCATCTTGGGCACTCAACTGGGAGTACAGAAAAAAGGGAATAATGGAAGAAATCGTCAACTGTGATGCAGATATTATTAGTCTTCAGGTAATTGGAAAATAACTGTGTTTTTCATCAGAAACAGAAAACATTAGCTTCTGCCCCTAGAATTAAATGCTTTCTTGAGAACATCATATTCACCTGCTTGCTAACAAATTCTGGTGCTTACCAGTACAAGGTGTGTTCAGAGATCCTTGTTTATGCATTGGCTTGTGCTTTATAAAATGACACAAAGTAAGAGAGATAAAATTAGCTAAATTAGTAGGTAATCTGTATTGGAAGATCTGGGTCTTTGCCTGCTCAGATAAGCATCCTAAGTGTTCTCCCTCTGGTGATATAGGGCTTACTGCAGAAGGGGAGAATGAAAACTGCTATATTCCTAAATGCCGGTCCAAAAAAAAGTTAAAATCTCAAAAATACTCTCATTGGCAAACAAAGGGACTCTCATGGTCACGGTTAAATATCAAGTGTCATTGGTACATGTATCCTGTTGTATCATTAGATACAATTATTGCCAATGTTTACAACAGTTGAATGCTTCTGCCTTTAAACTGTTCTTTTGTTTTTTAAGCAAATTGTGGTAGGCAAAAATCTTGCTCAAGAAGAGAGTCGTTACCTTGGTCTGAAAACATCAAGAGATTAATCTCTGAAATCCTCTTGGAGACCAAATGTTACTACGAAGAAAATGTATTGTTACAGAGCAGCAAGAGACCCTTGTGTGAAAGACATTAAATATTAATTGCTGCTGGATACCTGTTGACCTCTCAGAAGTTTTAACCTAGGGTGGTGTCCATGTTCAGATGTCAAAAATACCAGGTGTAATCTATTGTTATTCAACATACACCT